AGCATATGGAATGTTTTTCCATTTATGAAGGTCACTTCTAGTTTCTTGGAGTAGTGTTTTATAGTTTTCATTGTATAGGCCTTTTACATCCCTGGTTAGGTTTATTCCCAGGTATTTTATCCTTTTGGGGGCTACTGTGAATGATATTGTTTCTTGATTTCCTTTTCATAGCTCTCCTTGTTAGTGTGAAGGAACCCAACTAATTTTTGTGTGTTGATCTTGTACACTGCATGTATGCATTACTTGTACCAAATTATTCAGGAAAAAAATTATATATCTATGAAGAGAGAGAGAGAAATAATAAAGCAATCGTGGTAAAATATTAACGTTTGAGGAATCTGGGTAAAGGGAATTCTTTATAACTCTTCTTGCAATGCCTACGTAAGTCCTGAATTATTTCAAAATAAAAAGTTAAAAATAAATGAAAACACTTTTGCCTTAAATTGCATGTGATGGGGTTGGGAGAGGTTTGGGAGTGAATGATTATTAAACTAGTTAAGAACATAAAAGAAGACAAACTTCCAGCCAAATCTGAAAGTGTGCTGGTACAGTCTCTCTCACCCTTCTGGCAAGCTGCAAGGTGTCTGTAACCTGCAGCTGATGGCAGCTGGGACATGCCCACAGGTGCTCCATCTTCTTCAGCTCTCCATTCACAAGGAGATGTCAAGGAAGAACCTGCCAGGATTTGCAGAGTATTCCAACGCATTCAGCTTCCCAGCCTACTGGCAGGTCTTAAAGCAAAAGACATAAGACTAGGAAAAGAATTTAGAAAAATGCAGGATATTTGTAAATGTAAGAACATGGAGGAAATATTTGGGAAGCAGTGGGGAACAAAAACCTTAAAGGATATAATAAATGTGTAAAAATGTGAGCTGGTGCTTGAAACTCCAGGGCTAGTTTTCATAAACCCAGAAAGGCCGTCAGCATATTTTAAATTGAATTTTCTGAAAGTCCATCTAGAATTAAACCAGTACCCAGCATATGTGAATTTCACACAGAAGCAAAGAGCTTTGCCTACAGCAGACGAATCCCAACATGAATCAAGAAGTTTTCTCTAAAATGAAGACATAATTCCTGGGAGCAAGGTTCTAAATACTACTTAACAATCTGTCAGAAAATGGCACCCAGTGAAAAATGTACAAAGGAAACAAGCAGGCATTTTGGTAAAGAAGAAATCCAAAGGGCAAAAAATATATATTAAAAAGAAAAAAAAACTCCCTAGTAAAAAAAGAAAAACACATGTAAGCAACCATGAAATACCATTTTCCTCTATGAAATAGACAAAGGTTTTTTTAATTGTAGAGCCCCGTGTGAGCAAAGGTGGGACACAGCGGGATGCGTGTCCGTGTGTGAAGAGGGAGCGGGAATTGGCGCCATCTTTCTGGTCTGTAGTTTAGCAATCCATTTCAAAAGGCTTCAAAATACGCAAACTCTTTGACCCAGAAATTCTACTTCTAGGAATTCGTCTTATGGAAATAATCACAGATGTCCAAAAAGATTTTGCCACAAGGATTATTTATAAAATAGAAAATTTGGAAACTCCCTGCATTTTCATAATTGGCTAAGTAAGTCAAGATGCATGTAGAACATGGTATACTACGTAGCCATTAAAAATGATATGGAGGAAGAATAATTTTAGGACAGGAAAAGTATTCTCATTATATGAAGTAAAAGGAGTTCTGGATGACACATACAGTTAAGGCAGTTCAAATGCACCCCGAGGCACGTTGGAAGAAAGGCCTGATGATCTGCTTCCAAAAAATAGGCCATCAAAAACCCTACAGAGCACAGTTCTTTTCTGATACACATGGGGTCTCCATGAGTCAGAGGTGACTCCATGGCAACTGGTTTGGTTTGGGTTTTTTTGTTTTTTGTTTTTGTTTTTAAGTTAGTTACAAACCAAACCTACAGAAAAGGTAGTCGTGTACTTTGTCAGAGCAGTGAATTCTCTCCTTGCTCCCATGCCTTTGCCCTAAATAGGAAGAGCTAGGGATGGTAACAGCCTGCCTGCCTGCCTTCCTTAATTCCAACATATTCACATACCATGCTTCATTTAACACATTTTTAATACACTTTATTTTTTTAGAGCAGTTTTAGGTTTTAAAGAAAACTGTGTGGAAAGTTCAGAGTTCCCATTACCTCCTCCCCTACACGTTGTCTCTCCTGCTGACATCTTGTGTTCCTCTGGGCACATGTGTTACCACTGACGAACCAATATGGCGGGGCTTCTTTGTGCGATGAGGAGAAGGTTTTAAGTTGAATGTGGTGACGGTTGCACCTATGTGTGAATACATTAAATTCCACCCGATCTTACACTTTAAATAGATGATTGTATGGAATGAAATCCTGATGCATGCTACAACATAGATGAACCTTGAAAACATTAGGCTGAATGAAGTCAGTCAGTCAGTCACAAAAGGACAAATATTGTATGATGCCACTTCCATGAAATAGGCAAGTACAGAGACCAAAGTCTGTTAATGGTTACCAAGGATGACAAGAAGAGGGAGAGGGAGAGCCATGGCCTGGGGGGCACTGAGCTTTTGTTAGCGGTGGTGGAATGATTTGGAAGAGGATAGTGGTGATGGTTGTACAGCATGATGAGCATAATCAATGCCACTGAATTGTGTAAAAATTGTTGAATTAGCAAGTGTTTTGTTATATTTATTCCACGGCTTGGGTCAGACGCACCTTAGTCCTTGAAGTGACATCTCTGTACCAAAAAGAATTGATCAATGCTCAATCATTTCAAGAAGTAGCATACAATCAAGAACTGATGGTACTGAAGGAAGAAGTCCAAGCTGCACTGAAGGCATTGGCAAAAAACAAGCCTCCAGGAATTGAAAGAAAACCAACTGAGATGTTTCAACAAATGGATGCAGCGCTGAAGTCCTCACTCATCTAGGCCAAGAAATCTAGAAGGCTACCTGGCCAACCGAGTGGAAGAGATCCATATTTATTCCTATTCCAAAGAAAGGTGATCCAACTATGAAGATTACAGCCTAGGAAAACTTATGGGGCTTTCTACAAGGTCACATGGGGTCCTCAAGAGTCAGAATTAACTCTAGGGCACCAAAGAACAACCAACAATGTATGAGACCCTGTTTCTCCCGTTCCTGGCTGTCTTAGTCGTCTAGTGTTGCTCCAACAGAAATACCACAAGTGGATGGTTTTAATGAAGAGAAGTTTATTTCCTCATAGTCAAAGTAGGCTAAAAGTCCAAATTCAGGGCATCAGCTCCAGGGGAAGGCTTTTTCTCTCTGTCGGCCTTCTTCTCTTCAGTGTTCGCCTGGACTAGGAGCTTCTCGGCTCCGGGACCCTGGTCCGAAGGACGCGCTTTGCTCTCGGCACTGCTTTCTTGATGGTATGAGGTCCCCCTGTCTCACTGCTCACTTCTGTCTTTTATATCTCAAGAGATTGCCTCAGGACACAATCCAGTCTTGTGGATCCAGTCCTGCCTTACTAACACAACTGCCCCCCATCCTCCCTCATTAACATCATAGAGGCAGGATTTACAACACATAGGGAAATCACACAGTACCAGGAATCATGGTTCAGCCAAACTGATACACACATTTTTGGGGACATAATTCAACCATGACACTGGCCAACACAGACAGGGGCAGATTAGCCAACAGGCAAGGTGAGCTGGCTGCTTCCCTTGCTTACCAGACCATCTACAGTGAACAACTTCACTACAGATTAGTAAGTAAGCACAAGTAATCCCACGCTTACCTTGTTTACTGGGTCATCCGCCCTGTCAGGGACTGTAAATTTGAAAAGAGGCTTTGATTCTGTAGGAAGGTGCTGTGGGGTTGGGAGAGTGACAGATGCTAGCCATACCTAGAAGCAGAGTCTTTGATGTGGTGAAAAAAAAATATGGAATTGTTCATTATAGATGATCTGGTAAGCACAGTAAGCACCGTGCTTACTTTGCCTATTGGATAATCCACCCCTAAACACAGGGTTTTATCAAACTTTTTGATCCTTACTAATCTTATAAATAAAATATGATAGCTTCGTTTTAATTTCTATTTGTCATAAGAGTGAGATCTAGCATCTTTTCATTTGTGCGGGTACAATTTGTACATTCTTTTCTGTCAACTGTTTTTATCTCTTTTGCCAGTTTTCATACTAGTTGGTCTTTTAAGGATAGATCTGTGCGAGTTTCTACGTATTATGGAAATTAGTCTTCATGGCATGCACTGCACACCTTTTTTTCCCCCAGTTTTTTGTTGGTCATTGACTCTGCTTATGACTTTTTTCCACGCAGAATATTTTTATTCTAACATTGTCAACTATATTAACTATTTTAGAGATTCTGGGCTTTATGTCTTAGTTAGAAAGGCCTTCCCCCTGGGAACTTATACCAGGAAAATATCTCACATATTTTCCTCTGGGACTTCCACTGTTTTATTTTTTATATTTAAATCTTTGTGCCAACAGGGCATTACTCTGATAAAAAGAGTTAAGTTGGGATCATACTACTTTTTTCTAGATGGCTACCCAGTGGTCCCCAAACCATTATTAAACAATCTATACTTTTCCCAAAATTAAAAAAACTTATTTATCGTCTACTAAGTTCCTATATGTATTTGAGTCAGTTTTTCTGCTTTCTGTTTCTATCCGTTGATCTTTATGCCTGTACAGGCATCAGTGCCATAGTTTTAACTACTGTCGTCTCATGATAGGGTTTAATAGCAAGTAAGACCCTTGTCCCCTCAAGATTCTTCCCGTTCAGAGTTTTTCTGGCTATTCTTGCTTGTTTGTTTTTCCATATAAACTTTAGAATCAACTTGTCAAGTTCCTGGAAAAATCATTCTCTTGGTATTTTTATTGGGATTGTATTAAGTATTTTTAGATTAATTTAGTGAAAATTGATATGTTTATGATGTTGATTGAGTCTTTCTAACCAAGAACACAGTAGGCTTTTCCATTTTGCAAAGTCTTCTTCTTTTTTCTTTTTTAATTGTTTCATAAATTAACCCATTTATTGTAGGTTAGAGATGTTTCAAATGGTGGCGCTTCTGCTGGTCTTTGGATCTCTTCAGTCTTGTGACGGCGAACTTCACTGTGACTGCCGAGGTGGTGTCGAAGGTACAGGCGCCACCAGCTACTGTTTTCATGCAGGAACCACAGTGCCAGACCCTCACAGCTTGTCTCTTCATTGTGGTTTTGCTGAAAAAGGAGTAAGTGTACTTGGTGTGTTGGCTGAGTTCAATTTTCTTCACCATTTTCCCATAATGGGTCCCATATTTGCTGATCATTCCGGCCTTCTTGGTGCATTTAACCATGTTGCTGCAAACTAGCTCTAAGCCCAGAGAGCTCGAAGTCTTCTTTTGGTTCCTTCAGGAGGGTATGAAAGTTTTCTTCAAATAGGTCTTGTTCATTCCTAGGAATTTCACCTCGTTTTTGGATGCAATCTGTAAATGATGTCTATTCCCCTTGATTACTGAATAATGAAAGGCTGCTAACGTGGATCAATATTCTCTAATTTCAAATCATATTATATCTCTAAGTGGAACAGTGCTAAACTGATCGACTGCTAACCAAAAGATCAGTGGTTCAAAACCACCAGCTGTTCCACAGGAGAAAAATGTGGCAGTCTGCTTCCATAGAGATTTACAGCCTTGGAAACCCTATGGGGCCACTATGAGTAGGAATGGACTTGACGGCAATAGATTGTACCTCTGGAGCAGTGTGACATCGATGCCAAAACACTCCAGGATATCTCAAAGAACCCTAAGTGATATTATGAAATCTTCCAAGTAAATAAGTTTTCATTGACGTTAATTCTTTTAAATCCCCAAACATAAGGACATGTTTATGATCTAGTTTTAAAGCCTTGATGAGTCGGAACTGACTGTATGGCAACAGGTTAAATTTGAAAACAACAACAAACCCACTCTAGGTTTAAAAAAAAAAGATGAAAACTTAAGTCTCCACTACCATCTCTGGGGAGCCCTGGTGGTGCAGTGATTAAGAGCTTGGCTGCTAACCAAAAGGTCAGCAGTTCAAATCCACCAGCTACTCTTTGGAAACTCTGTGGGGCAGTTCTGTTCCATCTGTCCTACAGGGTCTCTGTGAGTCGGAATTAACTTGACAGCAAAGGGTTTGGTTTTTGGATTTTGACCATCCCTGGTGGTGAAAAAGGTTAAGCTCTCGGGTGCTAAACGAAAGGTTGGCCGTTGGAACCCACGCAGCAGCTCCACAGGAGAAAGACCTGCTGATCTGCTCCCCTAAAGATTACAGCCTAGAAAACCCTGTGAGCAGCTCTACTCTGTCACATGGGATGATTATTAGTTGAAATCGACTGGATGGCACCAAACATCAGTAACAACAACACCATCCCTCCAATCCACCCAGTAGAGACAGGGATCTTTTTAAAATGTAAACTGGATCACCTGACTCCCACGCTTAAAACCTTCAGTGGCTTCTCATTGCACTGTGGATAAAGCCAGTAGCTAACCAGACCTGCAAAGCCAGCCTGAGTGTCTGGCACCTTCCCACCTCTTCAATCTTGTCTGCCAACTTGCCGACAAAGGCCTTTGCACATGTCTTCCCCCTGCTTGGGACCTCCCCACACACTCTTTATCCTTCCTGGTTTAGCTGTCACTTGACCACATAGCCAATGAAATTCTCCCTTCTTAACTCTTATCTCAGCCCTTCGTTGACTTCATTACAGGCTCACAGTTTTAAGTATTGCATCTCGTGTTTTGTATCCGCCCTGTGTAAGGCTGTGTGGACAGCACCTTTTTCACCACTGTATACCCAGCTCCAGCTCCTAATGGGAGCTCAAGAAATAAGTGTTTAAAAAAGTAAATGTGAAGATTCCCAAACAGGTCATTCACTTCCATTCCTCTTTTCCTTTGATCGACCTCTCCTTCCCTCATTTCCCCTTTGCCCGCCAAAATCTTACCCTTCCACCGACACCCAGCTCAAGTACCAGCTTCTCCAGGACACTTCCTCTGATGACTTGCTTGCTGTACAGTCTTATCCCACCCCACCCTACCCCCACCTTTATGCTAGCAGCAAACTTTCCACACTCCTAGTCAGCTCCTTCTTCCAGCCAGCACCACAGCTGTCTTAACCCCTCACTAATCCTTCTTCAAGCTCCTGACCCTGTCACCCCAAGCAAAGTACCTCCCACCTCACTTAGAAAACAGAGGCCTCAGGTTAGGGCCCCTCAATGCCTTACCTCCCCACTGCACCCCCACATGTTTCATCATCTGTGAAATGTGAATACTAACAGTACCTACCTCATTGGGTTCTCAGGTAGATTTGTTCCTTCTTCTGGTATATTCAGTATTCTTCACCAACAGTGTAATTCTAAAGCATCAATTTTTCTTCCATCTTCCCTATTCATTGTCCAGCTTTCACATGCATATGAGGCTATTGAAAATACCATGGCTTAGGTCAAGCGCACCTTAGTCCTTAGAGTGAATTATTTGCTTTTTAATACTTTAAAGAGATCTTTTGCGGCAGACTTGCCCAATGCGATGCATCGTTTGATTTCTTGACTGCTGCTTCCATGGGTGTTGATTATGGATCCAAGTGAAATGAAATTCTTGACAACTTCAGTCTTTTCTCTGTTTATCATAATGTTGCTTATTGGTCTACTTGTGAGGATTTTTGTTTTCTTTATGTTGAAGTGCAATCCATACTGAAGGCTGTGGTCTTTGATCTTCATCAATAAGTGCTTCAAGTTCTTTTCACTTTTCAGCAAGTAAGGTTATGTCATCTGCATAACACAGGTTGTTAATGAGTCTTCCTCCAATCCTGATGCCTGATCTTTCTTCATATAGTCCAGCTTCTTGGATTATTTGCTCAGCATACAGATTGACTAAGTATAGTGAAAGATACAACCCTGATGCACACCTTTCCATGCAGTATCCCTTTGATCTATTTGAACAATTGCCACTTGGTCTATGTACCATGAGCACAATTAAGTGTTGTGGAATTCTCATTCTTCATAATATTATCCATAATTTGTTACGATCCATGCAGTCAAATGCCTTTGCATAGTCAATAAAACATGGGTAGACATCTTTCTGGTATTTTCTGCTTCCAGCCAAGATCCATTTGACATCAGCAACGATATCCCTCATTCCACATCCTCTTCCAAATCCAGCTTAAATTGCTGGAAGTTCCCTGTCAATGTACTGCTGCAACCGCTGTGGAATGATCTTCAGCAAACTTTTACTTGCGTGTGATATTGATATTGTTCGATAATTTCCTCATTCTGTTGCATCACCTTTCTTTGGAATGGGGACAAATATGGATCTCTTCCAGTTGGTTGGCCAGGTAGCCTTCTTCCAAATTTCTTGTCATAGACAAGTGAGAACCTCCAGTGCTGCATCTGTTTGTTGAAACACCTCAATTGGTATCCGGTCAGTTCCAATGCCTTCAGTACAGCTTGGACTTCTTCCTCAGTACCTTTGGTTCTTGATCATATGCTACCTCCTAAAATGGCTGAATGCTGACCAATTCTTTTTGGTACAGTGACTGTGTATTCCTTCCATCTTCTTTTTATGCTTCTTGCATCATTTAATATTTTCCCCACAAAATCCTCCAATATTGCAACTCAAGGCTTGAATTTTTTCTTCAGTTCTTTCAGCTTGTGAAATGCTGAGCGTGTTCTTCTCTTTTGGTTTTCTAACTCCATGTCTTTGAACATTTCATTATAATGCTTTACTTCATCTCCTCGGGCTGCTCGTTGAAATCTTCTGGTCAGCTCTTTTTCTTCATCATTTCTTCCTTTTGCTTTAGCTACTCAACATTCAAGAGCAAGTTTCAGAGTCCCTTCTGATGTCCATTTTGGTCTTTTATTTCTTTCCTTTTTAATAATCTTTTGCTTTCTTCCTGTCTGATGTCCTTGATGTCATTCCACAACTCATCTGGTCTTCAGTCATTAGTGTTCAATGCATCAAATCTGTTCCTGAGATGGTCTTTAAATTCAGGTGGAGTGTACTCAAGGTCATGTTTTGGCTCTCATGGACTTGTTCTAATTTTCCTCAGCTTCAACTTGAACTTGAGTATGAGCAACTGATCATCCATTCCACAGTTGGCCCCTGGCCTTGTTCTGACTGATGATTTTGAGCTTCTCCATCATCTCTTTCCACAGACATAGTCCACTTAAGTCCTGTGCTGGGAGAATAGGGTTGAAAAAACTTAGCAACCCTATGTCAGTTGCAACATTTGGGACATACGTATACTAAAAAAAATTATTCCCTTTATCTGAAATAAACATGCAACTGTGTGTCCTGTATTTTATCTGGCAACCCTCCATATGAAGATTCTGAGGTGTCCATCATCCTAAGAACACACACCAAAACAATCTTAATTCTTCATCCCCCTCCAAGAGATACCTATCATGCCCACCATGTCCACATCTCCTCCTACAGGAAACTGTGACAACAAAACCAGAGCTACATCTCCTGTTGCCCTTGACAGCTATGTTTGAATCTGGTGTGATCTGGCCTCCTCTCCCTTGCCACCTCCACAGCTGACCAGCCTTTAGTCAAGGACGCACCAACCCCGGGTTGGCCCAGGGGGTTACTACAACTGCCACCTCTGACCCCAGAGTCTGTTCACTCTTCCAGCTGAACTCCAGCTGCCCCATAGTTGCAGCAGTGTCAATGGGCCAGGAGACCCAGCACCGGAGACCCAGCACCCATCACCCTTGGTTGCTCCGTGGTTTGAGGACCTCTGGAAGTATTGAACTTGGCCTCTGCCCAACAGTGTCAGCATTTCTCCTTTGTGACCCTGACTTTCATGGGATTCATGCCTGGTGATGTGGGGGGGACATTGACCTGGGGTTGTTGCCGTAACCAGTGAGGTGGGAAATGTGTAGCCCCTCAAGAGCATATGGGCATTGTAGATGTTCCTGGAACAATAGGGCTCATCCGGCATCTTAGGTAATACAGCATTATACTTGTTTTCCACGTCTCTCTCCTAGACTCGAGACCGGACGCTATGAGTTTCATGAGATATGCTGAGAATATAAATGAATGAACGAACCAACAAACAAATAGCCGACAACGTGAGATAATTAAGCAAACGGGCACTTCCGCTACCTGGGCTACTACATAGCTACTTAAAATAAAAAGTATATATACTATGTGGACACATAGAAATGTGTGTATGAAACCAATCAAATTCAGAAGATAGACATCAAATCATTTGTATTCTGAAGACAACCACGCTAAAATCTAGGTACAGAGCACAATCAAGATGGGCAGAAAATTTAGAGTCATAAATAGTTTAGAGGCTAGTACTCAGCAGGGGATTTTTC